CCAAACTTAGGGCTAATAAATTTCCTTATTTTCTGTCACAGAGGGCACTTGGAAGAGCACTAAGGTCACTTAATGGACAATTGCCTATTGTGACAAGTGGTAACTATGCATGGGGGTTTGGGGGAGGTGCGGAGAATTCTCTTTGAATCCCCTTAAGGATCAAATGTCAAATTCTTAGCACTGCCTTAGGTATGCTGAAAAAGCTTTGTCAGACAAAAGATGTCCCCTTTGTGTCTATCCAGAAGACATCTATTCAAGTTTGGTAATTACACCACATATTTTCTAATGTATATTTACTCTCACACATTCCAAAGTGATAATTTCAAAATTTTACCCCCTACCTTACCACCTCCTCACTCTCAGCTATTGAAATGAAGAAAATAGAGCTTCCTTATTCCCCAACCCCCAAACCCACCAGTCTTCTTGCCTTCCCTTCAATCCGTATGTCTGTAAATAATTTCTTCCTGCCCAACTGTTTCTCCAGAAGTATTCTCCCATCTCACTGAGCCAGTGGCTCAAGCAAAAAATAAACAGCCTTGGTTCCTCACTTTCTATCATGCCTTCACAACCAATTCTTCAGAAAGGACCACTGGCTTTAACTCCAAAACACATCTCATCTTTGTCTAGTTCTCTCCATTTTTATTCCTACCACCCCAATTAAAAATGTATTTTGCTTGAACGACCATAGTATCTTCCTAACTTTCTGATTATATCTCTTTCCCCTCTACATCCTTAATAGTGCAGAGCAATTTTCTCAAAATTTAAATGAGATCACCTCCCTCCCTTGCTTCACAGTCTCCATGATGGATTCTGCACTTAGCAGGTATCCAAACTCCTCTCCATGATCTGCAAAGCCCGGTGCAACTTATTCCTACCCCTTTCTCCAAGTTCATCTCAGAGGCCTTACTCCTCCAAACTAACCTTCCTGTTTCTTGATTTACCTTTATGGCCTGCACAGGAAAAGAGTTAACATAAACAAGCCTGAAGTTACTATCATTAGAAGGGCCTGCTTGCAAGTGTGTAGAGACTTGACTTTTGAAATGGTCCCTGTATTGATTTAAGGCTGTTTTATCTACATGGGGTGCTGAACACCTGCTTTCTTCTGGGTATTTCAGTAGTTGTGGCTGGTCTGTGCCTATGTGACCAGCCCCCAGTAAAAAGCCTGGACTTTAAGGCTGGAGTGGGCTTCCCTGGACAAAACCCTGCTCCCATGTTGCTGCATCTGCTGCTGGTAAAGCAGATTTGTGTGTGACCCCTGGGGAAGGGTAGTGAGGGAGACAGAGAAAGCCTGTGCCCAAAGCCTCTAGACTCCATCTGTTGTGTCTTTTTCCCTTGCTGATTACCATAAGAAACTAAAGCCCTAACTATCTCTGGGCCCTGTGATTCCTGCTAGTGAATCATTGAACGTATGGGTGGTCTTGGGACCCCCAAACCAGGCCTCAGCCTGAAGTCCCCAATTCATCCCTTGGCTATCTTTTTTTTTTTCTTTAATCATTCTTGGCCTAGCTGAATGTTACCACCTCAGAAAACAAACACCTTGGGCGCCTGGGTGGCTCAGTGGGTTAAGCCTCTGCCTTCGGCTCAGGTCATGGTCTCAGGGTCCTGGGGTCGAGGCCCGCATCAGGCTTTCTGCCTTCCCTGCCTCTCTGCCTACTTGTGATTTCTCTGTCAAATAAGTAAATAAATAAATCTTAAAAAAAAAAAAAGAAAAGAAAACGACCATCTTGTTTTACTGATTTTACTGACATCATCTTGTTTTTATCATATTACCACTTCAGATCATGTTAGTTTTACAAGTTTACTTATTTATTGCCTCTCTCCTTGTGGAGCTGATGTCTGTAAACTTTCTCTATATAGGGTCAGAGACAGAATTAAAGATACTGTGCAGGTGCTTGTGTAATAAGAAAAAACAAATTTCCATAAAATTTTTATTGATGAAATTCATTGTGTAAAATGAATGCAGATCTAATGGGAAGAATGAAATTCTTTTTTGGAGATAACATGTCACTTAAGTGAGGTTCAAAGTCAGAGTTATTTATCATTAAAATCAATTGTGGGGGTGCCTGGCTGCCTTCAACTCCGGTCATGATCCCAGGCTCCTGGGATCAGCACCCCCCGCTTGCTCAGCAGGGAGCCTGCTTCTCCCTCTCCCTCTGCCCTTCCCCCTGCTTGTGTTCCCTCTCTCACTTTCTGTCAAATAAATAAAATCTTAAAAAAAAAAATCAATTGCAAATATTCACCTGTAGTAATTTTACACATTTCAACCTTGAAAATGTCTTATGTAGATAGTTACTGGGAAATTTCAATATTAACTCACAAGCACATGATCTTAACTGAGCATATGAATCATTTGGAAAGTATTGAGAGCATTCTGTTAGGGTCTTGTCTTGATTATCTGGCTTTTAGCTTGTATTATATTGTAGAATAATCACCATAAACCGAAGGTTGGGTGGATGTTCTTCAGTTTCAGTTAAACCAATTTTTGAAATATGGGGATTTTCTTTGTATTTGTATCAAGATCTGAGAAGTTCTGTTGGAACTGTATTTGAGACCAGGAAATACAGTTTCTGCAAATGGGACTCTCACTTCTTGTTCTAATGTTTGACAGTATGAGAAGCATATCATGCAGGTTGGCATCACTTGCGAGTACAACATTAGTCTCCATCAATGAGCTTCCTGTAGATGTAAGTTTCACTGTAATTGTTAACTGCAGGTTGTTACTGTGATTGTAGTTTCCTTGTAAATTCAGGCAGAATTCATTAAGAAACATTATCAAGTCTGTAGCAAAAACTAATTTCCAAGGCCATTCAGTTTTCCATAATAGAGATGGACAGCACTACTTTTCTCATTCAGAAAAATTTGTCTTGGCTCTGAGCTCCAGAAATTGCAATAATGACTACTGCTAAACCACTGAACTGCTGTGGATAGGACAAATCAGGATATTCAGCTTCTACTTCTAACAAAAATTCATGGAACTGACGAGGGTCAACTCTATGAGAACAAAGGACAGTAACTATTGACTCTCAATGACAAACCGAGGTTGTCAATAACACACGATACATTGAAAGGTTTTCCACAAACCACCTGACGAATAGCACAATGAATAACCGTAAGCTTTAAACACCTGAAATTTTCACCAGCTTTGTACACTTAACCAACTATCCCTTTCTCTGCTCCAGCTCCACATATATTTTTATCATCAGTTACCAAGTATCTTAGTAGATTCCACTTCAGATTGTCCTAAATTAATGTTTTCTTAACTTCTCTGACAATATTATCTTTTGTAGTTGTCCCATGGAGACTATTCTTAGAGGCCAACTCTTCGGTCACTTCTAAGTTAACACTGATTCCCCAAGTAAGCAACTGACAACATTTGTCAATCCATCAAGAGCCAAGGGAAACCAGAATTATTTGCCTTTTTGGGGATCTTGCTTTTAATTGACTACTGAGGCTGTTCCCAATGTCCTCAACTCTCTTAGCAACAGTTTTTGCCAAAAATCTAATAGTTTTAAACAACTTTATTTTCTCTGGACACATGTCTGCTGCAATCAAACATAATTTAATTGACTCACAGTCAGTAAGCAGCTTCTCTTGACTAACAAATACGCCATTCAGAAGCTTTGGTTGCAGGCTCATTTAATGTTTTATTTTTGTGAAGAAATTCTGTTGTGATGGATACTCTCATATTCTTTAAAATTTTCTAATTTTTCTGACTGTTGGTTTCCTGTGAGCTGGGAATACTGTGATAAAGTTTCGTGTGAAAATGTTACCATATATTGTATTCTTTTAGCCCAGCTCTAGTATCACTGCAGGATAAACACAGTATTTTACCAGGTAAGTTGATAACAACATAATTCACATTTCACTGTGCCTTAGAAGTGTGACCTTCAAAGTCCCCTTTCCTTTTTTGCCTTGTTTTGATGGATATATCCTGTAAATAACAAAATTCAATGCTGTGGTGTAGCTCGCAACTTGCCACGTTATAAGGGCATCGCTGCACAGAGTGTGCCACGCAGCAATGCGAAGCAACAAGAGGGCAGTCACGTGTGGTTTCTGGTGTAGCTACTCCACACCGACGTAGCACAAACACTGCCACAAACCATACACAAATGAATGAGCCTGGCTGTGTCCAACAAAGCTTTAGCTATGGATAATGAAATTTGAATTTCATATAATTTTCATGTGTTGTGATTTTTTTTTATTTTTCCCAACTGTCTAACTTAGTAAAAACTATACTTAGCTCATGGGCTATAGAAAAAGAGGTAATAGGACAGATTAGGCTCCAGAGCTGTAGTTTGCCAACCCCTGCTCTTGAATGTAACCGAGAAAGAGCAGAAACATTGCCTGTTGGGTTGGATAAATTTGTAGTTTAATAGTCAAATCACAAAATCATGCTTTATCCTGGAGGAGAGGGAAGTAGATGCACATCATGGGGAAATATTTTTGTATCAAGCTGCTATTTTTACTATATTATGTAAACTGAAAATTGAGTTGAAAAAGCCTAGTGAATACCTAAAAACAATGGACACTTTACCTAGTAGCTTTTTAGAGTCATAAAGCTATGGTCAAGATCAATAATAGAAAGTTATTCTTAAATCTTATGATCTATTGATCTAATATGTGCAATAATTGGAGTGATATATAAAAAGAATTAAAATTTTACTTTTAGGCAATACAACCTATTGAGTCATATTTAAGATTCATTTTTGCTCCCACCTGCACTCTTAGCAGCTGTTTGATACTGGCAGGTTAATGCCCGCCAGGAAAAGGTAAGACATGTGAAGTGTTTACAGTGGTGCTGGCAAACTAAAAAGGTCAAAATATATTAGTTTTAAAAATAAACAAGTCTTATTGTTATTGCAGATAGGGTTCAGTACCATGACATTAAAATGATATATTTTTCATTAAAAGAATCCAAAATAGGCTCAAGTACTGAATTACTCTATAAAAATTTGTACTAAACAATATAACTAAAACAGAAAATGATGAATTTTCCTTACCTGACATGTCTGCTAAATCACCTACAATGGAAAGCAGCAGAGAAATAATTATCCATAAATAACTTAAAAGCAAAATTTATAAAAATTCAATTATCACAAAATAATTTTTTACACAACATAAATCATAAAGCATTATATGCAAAATGAATTTTATTATGTTGCACTGAGTAAACTAACTGAAGCCATTCATTTCAATTATACATATTTATTTACATTTTATGTATATGACCATTTAATCTTTGGATACATCTTAGATTACAAAATGCTCTGTTAATAGACTGAAGTTTTAATGTATCTCTCCTTGGCCCTGAGAGTCCAAGATGGTAGCTAAGGGGGAAAAAAAAGTTTGAATGTAACTGGCTAAAATACCACAAAGCAAGTATTTCCCCTATGACCTATACAATTTTTTTTAATTTTATTTTTTATAAACATATATATATATTTTTTCCCCCAGGGGTACAGGTCTGTGAATCTCCACGTTTACACACTTCACAGCACTCACCATAGCACATACCCTACCCAATGTCCGTAACATCCCCCCCCTCCCACTCCCCCTCCGCCCAGCAACCCTCAGTTTGTTTTGTGAGATTAAGAGTCACTTATGGTTTGTCTCCCTCCCAATCCCAACTTGTTTCATTTACTCTTCTCCTGACCTATACAATTTTTAACCAAGAGAGTCATAAACATTTTAGACAGTGTTTTGTGTTTTGCAGGTATCATACAAGGTTGGCAGGCAAAGTAACTACTCATTCAATTTTCTTTGGGGTCAGAAGAGAAAAAGTTTCTCACTTTTTGGTCTTAAGTCTATCTTATACTTCATTAGCCCTCAGTAAAAAAAAAAAAAAATGTATCTATTCTGTGGAAGGGTACAGTGGGGCAAGAAACAGGGCTGCACATATGATCTAAAATTCACCTCTGTACTGCCTGCACTCTGACTTGGAAGGACATACATGGGGAGATAATTAGCCATTCACATTTCCCTACAGTGCTACCTTCCAAAACAAAAGGAATGTGTACAAATACTGAATCATTAAGTTGTGCACCTGAAACTAACATAATGTTACATGTCAATTATATCTCAATAAAAAGGGGGAAAAGAGGGACAAATTTCATGAAAGATTGTATTTGTGACCACAACATTTCTTAATCAAAAGAGAAAACCACAGCCCTAATATATTAAGCAAAGCTGCTTAAAAAGGGGAAAGAAGGGGAAAGAAAAGAAGGAGCAAAGCTGGAAAATGGAAGAACCATTCCTTCTAGAATTCTATTCACACTATGCAAATTCCATTAATGCAGAGATTTTTATATCCTCCACACAGAAAAATACCTTGTGCATGGTATATGCTCAGTAAGTTTGTTGAATAAATGAATTTAGCTCAATAAAAATTAACTGAATAACTAGATGCCAAGAGGTATGAAACTAGGCTTTCATGACCCAAATGGTAACATGATCTTATTTTCTGTGCAGAGTAAAATACTCTGTGCAGAGTAAAAATAAGACTTGAACTTTTAAAAATTTAGTGCAAAAAGGGCCTAGACTCAAAGATTAGAATCCGTTGTATGTAAAGCATGAAGTATCAGTCTACTTCTTGTTAAAAATAGAAAAATTTACAGAAAGGAGGAATACTAAAGTGGTGTAACTGTAGAACTAAGCAACCCAGAGATCAAGCTGCTGACTGATCAATTTAGTACCTGTATGAAAAAGAAGATATTAAAAGCATAAATTATCCTATCCAAAAGAAAAAGACATCTGGAAAGCTGGTTTAGCAACTGAGGCCCACCAAGATCCAACAATCCCAATGACATCAATCATTTTTACAAAGTACACCAGAGTATAAAATTATGATTGACCAAATCTATTATGTAGTATTCATAGTGATCACTGATTGGTAGATAATGTTCTAAACAGACCTGCTATCTTCTCATCGTTTTGCTTGCAGAATGATATCCTTTGAGTTTTTTAAAGAGTTAAAAGAAGACAGCAAGACAGGTGGTTTTAAAACAGCTGACAACTTAGATCAGTGCCAAAGAAAAGAGAAAGGAGGGAGGATTTACCAGCATGGTCACATGGCTTCTCTCTTCTTTCTAGCTCAACCCCAGCTACCCCAGACATCGTGGCCCTGTCAGTCTAGTTACTTCTTGGCTCCCCTTATTTACCACTTTCTCCTCAAATTCTTCCTTTCTGCTTACTATGTTATATTATACCTTTTTGCTGATCAGAAATTTCTATTAAAGGACTAAATCCAACTATGTCAATCACCATAGTTTATTAATTCTGAACTGTCTGCACCACCTGAGATAACCAAAGTAAGAGGAAGGTACCTGGAAGCAAATAATATGGTAAAACTGGGTGTGTGTTTTATATACAAATAGCAATTTTGAACAATACACAAATAAATTTTACTTTTGTTTCCCTCTAGGATATTGAATTAATTTGAACAATACAATTACTTAAAATTGTTTCATTTTAAAATATAGAAACATACCTACTTGGCCAGTTGCCACTATGTTGATAAATTTGGGATGCTGATTTACAGTGAGGCACAGTATATCATCATTATGTTCCTGATAAAAACTCTGAGTCCCTATTAAAAAAAGAATATGAGAATTAAAACTGAAAATTTAAGGTATAACAGCCTAATTCATTTATCCAGAACAATGAACTGCTCTGTTTAACGTACTTAATACATATTTTTTGACACTGAATATGTGCATGTCATCATAAAGACAGAAAAATGATTCAGAAGTCTTTAATTGGATAGAGTCCTGAAAGGCATAAACCATGTAACACAAGGCTAAAGACATTAAGCGCCAAAAGAGTGTTAAAGATCCAAAAGCTATGGGAATTATTCTTATTGTGGGCATATGGCACTCCTGGACTGACATGACACTCTTTGTAAATGTGAAGGTGGGTGGGGAAGGGCATTTCAGGTACAGAAATACTTTAAGCAAAGGTACAAAGACCATTAAGTATTAAGTATGCATATATATGTCTCATTTGGTTGAAGTGTAAGGTCAAGAAGAAATCTGAGAAATGTGGCTAGAAGGTCAAACTGGAAATAGAATGATAGAGGACTTTGAATGCCAGCCTATGAATTTTGTATTTATTCTGTAGTCAGTAAGTACTTGAGTACTTATTGACTTGAGTACCAATAGTGGTACTCAAGAATTTTGATCAAAGAAGTCATGTGATTTACCTAGTAGCACTGATAGTGAAGAGACCTTAGACATGATCATAAAGGTAGAGAGGACATAGGACGTTATGTCCTTAGACAGGACATAATAAAGGTAGATTTGTGTAAGTACAGTGGAGAGGTGGGAAATGAGGTCAGGATGATAGGTTGTAGGTCAGTTCCAGATTACAGAGAGCCATCAACCCGAGGTCCTCCAAAAAGCAAAGCAATACGAAAAAAAAAAAAAAATATATATATATATATATATATATATAAAATGACATTTACCAGATCTAATAGTTTAAAACTTCTCTTCAAAGTGAAATGTACTTCATATTTCCCAGGGCTGAGAGTTGAGTGACAACAAACCAGCAATTATATGTGCTGTTGGCTAAGTTTGAAGAAGATCAGCTAATAGATCAAAACTTCCTGGACTGGAAACAGAGCAATGTACCCCAAACTGGAAAGGACAAATAATGACAAGTGGAGAGATGCCTAGCCTCCCTTCTGCTCTTTCTCTCTCTCTCCACTCCATCAATAAAAAGGTGATTAATTACAAATCAGAAAATTAAAAATAAAGAAAATTACAAGCATAAACATGAAATTGTATTTACATATTCCTTTCTAGACCATCTTTTCTTATTTTCTATTCTCCTTGAAGGATATGTGAAGCCTCAAAGAGGATCATCTAAGTATTTTTTAAATGACCCAAATTATTAAACTGAAAATCAACACTGATTTCTGCGTGATCTTAGTGAATCCTTTTCTTTAGGAAACCAAAATAGGACTATCATATTAATGATTAATACAGAATAGGCATGGGGGTTTAAGACTCACATAATCCGTTTTTTACTTCTTCAGAGTGAAGCTCTCAGAGGAAAAAGCCAGAAATGTCTGAACTAAATAATCTCTATTTTTACTTCCAACTTTAGATTTTATGAAGTTTATAATTACATATAAGAAAACAATTCAAAATTAAATAGTGAATGTCACTAGTAGGATTATACATCATTGGTTAACAAATGATAAGAGAATGTTATTTGCTTTTCAACAATCCAATCAGTTAAATAAACATCAAGAAATATTTTCTCACTATGAATCAATCAAAGCATCATCACAGAAGAGCCACAGGGAAACAGCTTTCTTAGTATCTTCCTTGGCTTTTCAAGTCCTCAGTGAAAACACTGCTCACTTCACCCTACTCCCTAGCAATCACTCCCTGAACATGCTACTTTTAATCACTACCTAGAAGAAACAACCACTAAGCCATCCATTTTCATGCTAAGGTTTGGCAGAAATAAAGTTACAAATGTTTCATTATAAAACATCGTTTCAATGTATAGTAAACCTTCACTTCTAATAGAGAGCCATGAGTACTTTGCATTATGATGTCTTTTTCTGCTGTGCTATATGTTCTTAAGACTGTAAATTTGGTTATTTGAAATATTACTGGAAAATTCAATAGTATGAAACTTAAGCAATTCTGGACTTAAGCAATTTAATTATTTACAGCTTTAACAAAGAAATGTAAGACTACAAATAACAAAATTCTAAAGTAAAGAACAGTGAGAGATGGAGAATCAGAGATTCCTACCTGTAGCTACATTGTGCAGAATTCCAACGGATGCAGTGTGATAAATTATATCATCACCGTCATTTAGATAGTGAACATTATTCCTACAGTCTCTTCCTCGATAGCCAAAAACAAGCTCCAACACAAGGTCCTATAACAGCAATAAAACCATTTTACAATTCCTTATCTCTAAACATTCACCATTATTTTTATACATAGTACTGGCATCTTCAGTCAAAATAGGGGATGTGTTTTGATGTTTTACAAACTTTGAACACAAAATTAAGGAGACAAACTTCTCCATAATGTGCATTGGGCAGCTGAAACACACACACTATACTTTTCTACAGAGTTATAAAAATGGAAAAGAGAATCACAAGATCATTTGGCTTCAAAAATGTTAGTTGTTGAGAGTTCATGTGTTGGGGAGCCTGGATGGCTTAGATGGTTTAGCATCTGCCTTCAGCTCAGGTCATTATCCCTGGGTCCTGGGATAGAGCCCCATGTCGGGGGTATCAGCTCAGCTGGGAGTCTACTTCTGCCTTTCTCACTGTTTGTGCCCTTTCTTTCTCTTAAATGAATAAATAAAACCTTAAAAAAAAAAGTTTACGTGTTAAACACTAAGATACTTCTTGTGTCCAAAAGAATTATTTTGATTTGCATTATTAGTAAAAATATGTAATCTGTATATGTAACTCAGGATACATTACGTCCAAGTGCTGTACATTTGAGAAGCCAAAAAGTGCATCAGCGTTGGTACAGAAAACGAAGTATACCATCTCTGATAACTCACACTAAAGTTCTAGCAGGTAATTCTGCCACTGAAAGTGTCCCTTTTCTCTGACCTTATGGACTTCCCGGGGTAATGAATACAACAATCACTGTCCCACAGATTTAGGCCTCATTTTTTACCCGATTTAGCATTTTGCTTGTGGCTGCTGATACGAGAAATAAGTGCCTGGAAGAACTTTCTTGTTCAATTATTATGGTAAGTTTCTTTGTAAGTAGAGCCTTCATTGAACTCTATGGTGAACAGATCTCATGGGGTGTAAACTTTGACTTATAAATTCAAACCACTAAGCATGAGATACTGCCAAGGGACCTGCACTCTATAAGCCATAGATCTTCACATATATTTACGGGTTGTCTGAGAGTTCAATTCAATTTAGTATTATTCACAAAAAACTAAAAAAAAAAAAAAAAAAAAAGACTAATACAAAATAAAAAGAAACAAAGGATATCAATCCAAAATTCATTCTTTACAATTAAGCTATCAGAATTTTATGACTGAATTTAAAAAAATCACTCAGGGGCAACTGTCTGGCCCAGTCGGTAGAGCACATGACTCCATCTTAGGGTTCAAGTCCCACATGGCTATACAGATTACTTAAAAACAAAATCTTAAAAAAAGATGATTCAATATGTTTATTTTCATAAAACCTAATGACAAGATTTGGGTGTCTTACAGGAAGGGAATGGAATGAATTCTGAATCCATCTTAAAGCAGAACACTGGGGAGGGGGTTCTCCTTACCTCTATTGGTTTCTTTTTCTTGCCAACATTGTTTGTCTGGAGTTTTTCTGGCCTAGGTGGGGCTCTGCTCACGGGGGGCCTGAAAAAGGAAAGTGGGAATGAGGAAAGGCATCTATCATTGGGCGCCTTCACTGAGCATCCCTCACCTGCCCACTGGATAGAGATGTCTAACACACCTTCACAAAAATGAACCCAATCTGTGTTTCTCACTAGACCGTGCTCTCTTTATCTTGATATCTTCTAAAGCCAGAAGGTGGCTTTTTAAAACTTCTTTGGTGTATGTTTCATAATGTAAATAACACATTAGCACAACAGCAGACTGTTGATAGATAAATATACAAATGTTAATTTAACATACTCGGAAACTTCTTGATGGGGTACATTGTTACAAAGCCTGGACTACTGCTCTAAAATGTCAACCACAGTATCTTGCACATGGCAGGTATTCAACACATTCTTCTTGAATTTGGAAAATATTTCTATGAACTTTCTATACTGTTGGCAATATAAATTATGTCTGAATTCAAATTTGTACTCATGACTTGCTCCTGCAGGCCCTTTATCTTCCCTTCTCCCTGAAGTCTCTAGTGAAGTCAAGTCAAGCAAATATTTTACAGTTACATAGCATTATAAACCATGAACACTCTGTAAAAGGTAATTATATTACTTACTATTGCCTTCAACTCCTCCTCTTCTTCTCTATTCTATTTACTAAACATTCATCAACTTCACCTAGAGAATAGCTCTCACATCTAGCCTCCTCTTCTGTTTCCACTACCAGTTCAGGATCGATCGATCGATCGATCTATCTATCTATCTATCTATTTATTTAAGATTTTATTTATTTATTTATTTGACAGAGAGAGATCACAAGCAGGCAGAGAGGCAGGCAGAAAGAGAGGAGGAAGCAGGCTCGATCCCAGGACTCTGAGATCATGCCCTGAGCCGAAGGCAGCGGCTTAACCCACTGAGCCACCCAGGCGCCCCTCAGGATCTATTTATAATGTCCCATTAGGTGTACGGAGTTCCCATTTTGAATCATTTAAATGAGGAGGCTCTAAAATGCCTAGGAATAAGCTCAACCAAACAGGTGACAGACTCTGAAAACTGTAAAACACTGAGGAGAGAAACTGAAGATGACAAAAACAAGTGGAAAGACATTCCATATTCATGGAAAGTATTAATATTGTTAAAATGTCCATGCTACCCAAAGCAATCCAGAGATTCCATGCAATTCCTACCAAATACCAACAGCACTTTCCACAAAACTGGAATACTACTAAAATTTGTATGGAAACACAGAAGACCTCAACTAGCCAAAGCAATCTTCAGAAAGAAAAACAAACCTGGAGGTATCACAATTACAGATTTCAAGCTATATTATAAAGACACAGTAATCAAAACAATTAGGGTACCAGCACAAAAACAGACACCTAGATCAATGGGACAGGATAAAGAACCCAGAAATAAACCTATGGTTATATAGTCAATTAATCTATAACAAAGGAGGCAAGAATATACAGTGGAGGAAAAGACAGTTTTTCAATCAACGATGCTGGGGAATCTAGCCAGTTACATGTAAAAGAACTGGACCAATTTTCAACCAATGCTTTGCCACGAACCATAGCAACATTTTTCTAGGTATGTCTCCTAAGGCAAGGGAAACAAAAGCAAAAATAAACTTTGGGACTACACCAAAATAAAAGGCTTTTGCACAGCAAAAGGAACCATCTACAAAACAAAAGACAACTTACTGAACGGAAGAAGGCATTTGCAAATGATATATCTGACCAGGGGTTAATATCTAAAATATATAAAGAAGTTTATACAACTCAATGCTAAAAATAAAAAAAAAATCCAATTAAAAAACAGAGGCCCTGAATAAACATTTTTCCAAACACGACACACAGATGGCCAATAGACACATAAAAAAATGTCCAACATCACTAATCAGTAGGCAAATACAAATCAAAACCCCAGTTAAGACATCACCTTACACCTGTTAGAATGGCTCAAGTGAAAAAGACAAGAAATAATAAATGTTGGTGAGGATATGGATAAAAAGGAATCCTTGGATACTGTTGATAGAAATGTAAAATGAGTACAGGCACTTGGGGAGAGAGTAAGGAGGGTCCTCAAAGAACTAAAAATAGAAATACTATACAATCCAACAATTCCACTATTGCATATTTAATGCCCTCTAAAATGAATACAATAATTCAGAAAGATACATGAACCCCTATTATTTCCTGCAGCATTGTTTACAATAGCCAAGATACGAAAGCAACCTGTGTCCAGTGATAGACAACTGGATAAGGAACACACACACACCTATTACACGGCCATTAAAAATGATGAGATCTCACCATTTGTGACAGCACAGACAGACCTAGAGGGTATTACACTAAGTGAAATAAGTCAGACTAAGAAAAAAAAATACCATATGATTTCACTCATGTGTGGAATATTTAAAAAAATGAGTCCACGAACAAAATAAAGAATCAGATCTATAAATAAGAGAACAAACAGACGGTTGCCAGAGAGGAGGGTAGGGATGGGCAAAACAGGTGAAGGGTAATGGGAGATACAGGTTTCCAGTTATGGAATAAGTGACAGTAACAAAAGACATAAGGAATATAGCAAATGATACTGTAATAGCATTGTATGGGGACAGATGGTAACTATACTTGTAGTGAACAGAGCATAATGTATAAACTTGCCAAATCACTATGTTGCATACCTGAAACTAAAGTAACTTTGTGAGCCAACTACACTCAAAAAAAAAAAAGTGGAGACTTTTTTCCTAAAATCTTTTGTTTAATTAAAAAAAAAACAAACCCACCTCATTTGGTTTATTTTTTATCTCAGGTAACCATTAATGAAATGTTTAATAACCTGAACACTGAATCTAAATCAATCATGCTATCAATTCCCACTTCCAAATTTTAAGTTAATATTCAATTTGTAAAAACTAAAGCAGAAAACGACACGAAATGAGTTTGCTGTGGGAAAAAGAATCCAATGTGTGATTAAGGTATAAAATTAAATGATAAAAGCATATTTGCATTTTCACAAGGATTTCCAGGTTACACAACTATTAAAGTGAATGAAGTGCTCAATCTTGAATATGCAATATAAAAGAAGTGAATACATTCATACATGACATGAAGTGGTATATAGAAGCAAATAACCATGACTGGTGACATAAAAATTATATGGACTTATAAGAATATATAAAGAACTCTTTAAATTATTATAGAAAGTTTGGTTTCAAAACTTTTTTATACATTTTAATGTCTATAAGTAATATAATTTGATTTACAATATTTAACATTTAAAAATGCTTCTCTTAGGGCCTATTTACTTATTTAGAGGGAGAAAACCTCAAGCAGGCTCCACACACACTCTGACGTGGGACTTAATCTCATGACCCTGAGATCATGACCTGAGCTGAAATCAAGGGTCGGTCTATTAACCAACTGAGCCACCCAGTGCCCCTCCTTAGAGCCTTTTTAAAGAATGAAAGCAGCCATGGCTTTTCTCTAGGTCAGTATTTTTGGTGAACTTCATTCAGTGTTATTGTCTGACAGCTTTAACTGTAACCCAAACAACAAACAGGTAATTTTTATCCATGCAAATCTGTATAACAGTAAGTATATTTTAATTTTCTAAAGATAACTTCTATAATATTTATATTTTTGTTTAAAGTTACACAACTATAAAATTATACAAGTTGAACAAATAAAGTTTTGGTAAAGCAATTACTTATGTAGCAGAAATCCAATAATTAAGATGTTATTCGTTTCAGTGATACTGATTTCAATGGAGAAAAACGTGGAAAATTGTGAACAGAGGTAAAGAACACCAAGTAACACAGCTCATTAATGGTAGAATGAAAGATGATAAAAATACAAAATTTGGTCATAAAGTATAACAAAGAGAGAGAATTACCTGGAACCTCTTTTTAGCAGCAGATAAAAAAGGGAAAAGATTACAACACAGATTTGAATTTAAAACATTAGTAAAATACTTCTGAAATAAAATATTTTTACAAGTTTAATGCAGGTAAAACATACTGCATATATTAAGGGCTGTTGTTTTTATTTATTACTGCATAGAAGGCCAAAGTTACTCCATTAATGGCAAGCAAATCAAAAGAAGGTGAAAAAAGAAAAATGAGAATTGAACATGTTCTAGTTGTAAACTTTAAATCTTACCGTTCTTATTTTTCTACAGTGCACTCTGAATTTCAAACAAAATACTGAAGCTTATCTTTTTTTTATGATTTTATTTATTTATTTGACAGAGAGAGAGAGATCACAAGCAGGTAGAGAGGCAGGTGGAGAGAGAGGGGAAGGAGGCTTGCCACTGAGTAGAGAGCCTGATGCAGGGCTTCATCCCAGGACCCTGGGACCATGACCTGAGCTGGCGAAGGCAGAGACTTAACCCACTGAGCCACCCAGGCGCCCTGCTTATCTTTGTTCTTAAGAGTGGGAGTGAAATGGTAAAAACTTAAAAAGTTGGTCATACTGGAGATGCTATTAAGGAAACTCTCTAAGGAGGAGAAGCAACCCCTTCTCTGACCTAAGAGGGTTTCTCAGTCAGCCAGTCCAACCTACCAGGCAAAGTGAGTCACTCAAGATCATGCCAGCTTTGGGATTTTGCTAGTAAAGGAGGTAACTTAAAAGAATCCCTTTAAAAATATAATGACCAGGGACGCCTGGGTGGCTCAGTTGGTTGGACGACTGCTTTCGGCTCAGGTCATGATCCCGGAGTCCCGGGATCGAGTCCCGCATCGGGCTCCCAGCTCCATGGGGAGTCTGCTTCTGCCTCTGACCTTCTCCTCACTCATGCTCTCTCTCACTGCCTCTCTCTCAAATAAATAAATAAAATCTTTAAAAAAAAAAAAAAAAAAAAAATATAATGACCAAAAGAGAATTGGAAGAGATCACAAAAGTCATTTTGACCACCCTCTACTGAAACCAGGAGCTGTCTTTTTAAGATTTTATTTATTTATTTGACAGAGAGACAGTGAGAGAGGGAATACAAGCAGGTGGAGTGGGAGAAGGAGAAGCAGGCTTCTGGCTGAGCAGGGAGCCCGATGCGGGGCTCAGTCCCAGGACCCTGGGATCATGACCTGAGCCGAAGGCAGAGGCTTTAACCCACTGAGCCACCCAGGCGCCCCTCAGGAGTTGTCTTTACACTTCTAGAAACACCCCTTTGTAGCACTGACAACAAATGGTCATCTAAACTCTCATAAAAACTGCTTATGAAAGGGAGGTCAATTTGCAACAACATGGATGGAACTAGAGTGTATTATGCTGAGCATAATAAGTCAATCAGAGAAAGATAATTATCATATGATCTCCCTGATATGAAGAATTTGAGAGGCAAAGTGGGGAGTCTGGGGGGTAGGGAAAGAAAAAATGAGACAAGATGGAATCAGGAGGGAGAGAAACCATAAGAGACTTTTTTTTTTTTTTTTTTCGTAAGAGACTCAATCTCACAAAACAAACTGAGGGTTGCTGGGGAGAGAGGGGTATGGAGAGAGTGATTGGGTTATGGAGATTGGGGAAGGTATGTGATATGGCGAGTGCTGTGAAATGTGTAAGCCTGATGATTCACAGACCCGTACCCCTGGGGCAAATAATACATTATATGTTAAAAAAATAATTTTAAAGTAATAAATAATTTTTAAAAGGGAGGTCACTGCTCCATAAAAGTCACTCACACCCAAGACAACAATTATATCTCCACTTAGCTTTGTTTTCAAACAAGTGACTTCCACTATAAATTGTGTCTCTTTAAAATGCAGAGAACAGTCCTGAATAAGCTACTTCAGATCTAAGGCTAGATCTGAATGTTTTATTTGTTAAAATAGTCTAAGATATGTGGGCCTTTTTAGAAGTTACATAACACTCTAGTCTCCTATCTTTGTATATATCACCCCAGTTTAAAACAAATAATGAATTTCTGCTGTCCACCAAATAAATTAAGGAGTGCCTTATATCTGAGTTTCCGTACAATCTGTTCTCATATTTAGTTTTTTCATCCTTATTTCCCAGCATTTACCTATTTGTATTTATTTTTACTTCTAAAACACTTTTCCACACTGTCCGGTTTCAGAAACTGCCTGAGGACATGTTCATCTCACTAAAGCTAGTTGTGAAAGTGTCCCACAGAGCCCTTTTATGCACATATCATTTTATTACACATACAAATACCATCATTGCCCTATGTTAAATTTTTAAACGAAGGTATAAATATACATTAAATGAAGCTCACAGGCTTTATAAACTGCATATTTTTTCACTGACAAATATGTGTGGCTAACTATTTTCGTAAACCTCTGAAACTTACGGAATAATAAAACACTTTGGAGTTTGTTGTAAAACTAAATGATCATAATGAAAAACCTCAGCAGCAGCCAGATACTACACATGTAAATGCAACTATTCTGGAGGACTTCTTTCACTTTTTAATTTCTTCTTAATAAATATAGTTCCATGTTTTATAGGGAAAAAAATCAACACCTTAAAATAAAGATCCAAACAGAAGAATACTGGAATAAAATATTTTATTTATTTTATTAAAACTTACCTTACTACCCCCTGCCTTTGAAAGGAACAAGGGAAAAAAAGAAACACCGATGATGAATAATTGATGATTAAAACGCAGCAGTTAAATACACAGAATAAAGGAAACAGCAACAGAATTCAAAAGAAATACCAAAATGCCTATTATGCTCCACTGTTCTGAATATTTTTACTAAAAAATACTGGAAGTTTGATTGACAACTACTTTAAAGATATAAGATTTACTACAAAAAGAAAAACATAAAAGTATTATAGTCATTTAGGAAAAAAGGCCCCATGAAAGTGTCAAGTAATTACCAATTTCATCCAAAACCTTTTAAGTGGCTGTCTGACAAATATTTGTTTTCACTGTTTATAAAATGTTGTTTCATACTTGATAGCAACATTTAAAATACAAAAACATTTATGTAGACTATAATATCTCCTTACAAATAAACACAAAGTTGGTTAGAAGAAGTATCTTCATTTTTTTGATTCTCTCATTTTATGAAAATGAGGACTCCCAATTCTGAGTCATTTTGGACTCTGGCCTCAGCATTTTCTTTTCATTCATTCATTTATTCTTCTTTTTTTTTTTTTGGCCTCAGCATTTTCAAAAGAATTCAGCAGACTTGAAATTGTAAAATAAACTGAGAACTAATGCAAAATAATTTCAAAATAATTTGGAAAATCTTGTGTAAAAAATGCAAGCTAACAGCAAAGATTATGAGAACATCAAGCATTTTTCATGAGCAGAAAAATACTTCCATCTGTCAGAATTTGGGTCACTTTGTTAATAAAGGAGGAATTTTAAGTGTTTTACCATAAATGACAGCTTATAGATTAAAATTTGGTCACATTTTCTGATATACCTAATTTATCTAATATTTTTCTTAAAAAATAAATAAATGAAAAAGATTTACAGGAATGTCTAGAGTTCCTTCCTCCCTATAGTACTTTCACTTTTCATTACCTGTGAGAGATAATTTAAGTAATTTTAAGCACTATACTATGCTCATTAGGAACATCCACATTTGCAAACTTATAGATATGTATTTCTCTGAGTAATATATAGATATTGTTCACTATTTTATGGATATTTAATTTCAGAAAATGTTTCACTTTATTTTCCTCAGGTGAAACTGTATTTCATTTGCAGGGAGGGGTGGTAAAGACTTACTTCCTAACTTCTTTATATATATTTTATTTCATTTTATAAAATACTCCATAAGTTAGTGATTGTAAGGCTCATTAACCTCTAAGGAAACAGAGGCTTAAAGGCAACAAATAGTTTTTCAAGGTGACACAAGAGCAAAATGAGAAAAATTAGTATTTTAACCCATTTGTCTGACTGTAAAAACCATGTCTTTTGCACTGTAAGATACTGCCCCCTCATCAGATCACTTCACCCTGAATCTTGATATTTAGATTATGGTATGCTCAGCTTTCTTAAAACATCTAATTTACTTTATGGTTTTTTTAAAATATTTTATTTTTAAAAAGATTTTATTTGTCAGAACGAGAGAGAGCTCACAAGCAGAGGGAGTGGCAGGCAGAGGGAGAGGGAAAAGCAGGCTCCCTGCTGAGCAAGGATTCTGATGCGGGGCTCCATCCCAGGACTCTGGGATCATGACCTGAGCTGAAGGCAGACGCTTCATTAACTGAGCCACCCAGGTGTCCCAAAACATATCTTTAATTTAATACTCTCTTAATAGTGATGAGAAAATGAATATTTACCCTCTACCCCCCCATCCGTAAAGGTGATGTCAATGCTATTATTTGGGTACTCATCAGCAAGTGAGCATCTAGAAGAGAAGCTATGGAGACATCATGACTCAACAGTCCCCCTAGAACTCTCATGGGAACATGTGTGGCTAGTCTGTTCAGATACCCTCTAGATTCCCCTTTTCCATGAGGAACATGCACCTCATCCTTCCAATTTCATCCTTCCTCCTGAATGTTAAGCCCGTAGTGCAAACTTCAACCACTCTGCCAGTGCTTTCTTGTACTGTCTGTCATCTCTATCTAGCTGAGCTCCACGCGTCGCTCACTCAAATTTTCCACAAATTCTGTTCAATGTGAGTAAATTCCCTTTCATTTTTAACTTTTCCCTCAAATATTCTTACCAACTTAGCGTAACAAAGTTCTCCTCAGCACGTCTTTAGACAGATGAGGTCACTGCTGTTCCCACCTTTCACTCCTTGGCTCCTGACTGCAGTTTCTAGATAATTTTTCCTTTATCATTTCTTAAAAACTCTACGCTTCTGAAGTCCACGTCATTCATTCACTGATTCATACACCTCTTTACTGTCTTCCATAGTCCCAAATAATTTTAAAAGCATCCTGTGATGTTCACAATTCCTCTCTTAAGCTGTCATCTAACTCAGAGGCTTTATTAAAAAGTTCTCTCTCCTTATAAAATTGCTGTGGGCATAGCTTTTATTACTGATGTGCTGCTTTTAGACAAAGACCAGTAATTCCCATTCTCTAATGGGAAGCTATACTTCAATTTGCCTCTTGGAAAAATCTTTATCTTTTTTAGAGATTTTATTTGACAGAGAGCATGAGAGAGCACAAGCAGGGCGGGCAGTGGAGGGAGAGGGAGAAGCAGGTTCCCCGTGGGGCAAGAACCCAATGCAGGGCTTGATCCCAGGACCTTGGGGCCATGACCTGAGCCGAAGGCAGATGCTTCACCATCTTAGCCACCCAGGCACTCCTGGAAAATTTTTTAAATAATGATTTTCTATCCTTGATTAAAGGCACATGGATAAAAATGCCTTTCAAAATTCAATCCTATCTCTGCTCAGGTGCTTCCTAAAACATACTTGGTATTGGATTCAAATTTTATTATTTCCTACAACCCTCTCATATTTATTTATAAAAGTTAGCAAGTAATATTCCTTTAATCATAGACACTTTATATTCCTTAAACTACTTGCAAGAGAGAGTGTCATCCCCGAGAAGTATTTAAGGACAAATGTTTTTCAAGAGGTGCTGGGTGCTGGAAAATCCAAAAGTACCACTGCTACTTAGTTTTTACAAAAATTCATTCAGTTAAACAATAAATTCAGTTTTAATGCCAATATAGTTTTCTTCATCTAGTTTTAAATTTGATTGTTACCTCTCATCAACTGAGGGTTCTTTTTGCTGCAAATGAGGCTTGACTCCAAACATTGGGCGAATATTTGTTGATAAGGCTCTAATGGTGTAACTGATTTCATTCTCCCTTGTAACGTCACTGTCATAGCCTGCCATCAAAACATAAGAATTGTTCTCTAAGTTACAACTGAGGAGTTCTATTATGATCCTATAAATTGGATACAAGGATGCTCAACAATATAAAATAAGCTAAATAGTGTCATAGCCAAATTATGAAATAACATAACAGCCAATAAAAAGATACAGAATATTTATGATATGTAACAATGTTTTCAAATATTACTAAGAGACAACAGCCTATAAAATACAAATTCAATATATCATTTTTCTTTAAAAATATTATGTATATAAATGCACATATCCCTATGGAAATACCTCAATATGTTAACAGAAGTTACCTCTGAGTGGTCAAATTATGTTTATTTTTATTGCAAAATGTATTTTAAATTTTTCTATAATGAGCTGGTATTATTTACATATTAGGAAAAGACAAAAATCATTTTAAAATATGAAGTTCGATACCATAAAAATTTTTTTAAAGATTTTATTTATTTGAGACAGAGCAAGCACGAGTGGGGGAGGAGGGGCAGAGGGAGAAGCAGACCCCTGCTGAGCAGGGAGCTCGAGGTCCCTGGGATCATGCCCCGAGCTAAAGGCAGACACTTAACTAGCTGAGCTCCCCAGGTGCCCCACCATAAAATTTATTTTAACAGTACTTAAAGTAGGATTATCATACATTTGTAGATGAAGAATATTTAAGTCATCAATATATGCCAGTCTGTTATTTTTGAGGCATAAAACCAAGTCTGGTGTTAAGCAGACCACAAAGACTAAAACCACAATTATTCAAACATTATTATTACTTAAGTGCTGTAGTTTAAATCAGTTGTGCTAAATTATTTGTACTTTTATTAAAATATTTTAAAATGACATACCCCCATCTTCTTCCGAATCTGTATCAGATTCCTCACTATCACAAGGCCTTTTTTCTTGATAGCCCTCCATTTCATTTGTCCAAACCATTAAAGACATATCTGCACCTCCTAAGGTGACCAACATGCTATCATCATAAGTCCAGCGAACATTTGTGACATGTGTACTATGGGCCACATACCTCTTAAATTTTCCAAATTTTCCCTAAAGTTGAAAAAAAAAATTCAGAGTCTTTGAGAAATGTTACTACTTGAAAATGGTTCTATCTTAAGACAGCTATACCATCTAGAAAGCTGGAAGTAAAGTTTCTGAATAGATGCCATATGGGAACATATTATCAATTAAGGTTCTGTCACTTAAGCACATCTAAAACAGGGCTGTGTGAAATATTTCCTCAGGTGTCTGGGTTCTCTATGAGAATTTTTAAACTTGTGTTTTCATTTCAATGGTGATCTAAAAATACAAAAATGAGCAGCTACTTAAGAAATCATTATATGATTTCAGTGCCCCATTTCAAATTTATGTTTATGTTCATGCCAGGTTATAATATACAGTTGACCCTTGAACAACATGGGTTTGAACTGCACAGGTCCACTTATATGCAGATATTTTTTGACACATTATAGCACTGTAAATGCATTTTCTCTTCCATATTTTTAAAATATTTTTGCAATAACATTTTATTTTCTCTAGCTTATATTTTAAGAATACAGTGTATAATACATAAAACATACAAAATATGTGTTGACTGTTATTGGTAAGGTTTCCAGTCAACACTAGATTATCAGTAAAGTTTTGGTGAGTCAACGGTTATACACGGATTTTTGACTTTGCAGGGGTCGGTATCCCTAACCCCATGCTGTCATCTGAATCAGCGAAAATAATGAAAAAATAATCCATCTGGACCTGATATATGAATTTTATTTTCATGCTAAATGAAAGCCTAATATTTCCCAGTACCCTGAACAGAGGAAAGCACTAAGAGAATTCAATCATCACACAGTACACCACAGCATGGGCACATAGCACCCCAAAGAGTCTGTGCAGTCTAGTTTTAGCAAAATAATATCATTCATTACATTGAGTCAATGCTATTTTAATATTATAGGTATTGTATTTATAGTATTTTGGATCTAATGGTTGAAACATTTTAAAATTTAAGGCGTAAATGTAAAGAGTTTGTGTTTACTGTTAATGGTATGTATTTAATCAAAAGAATACCAAAATTATTTAAGTTAATATTAAGGATAAAAGAAATGTTTCTTCTAAAAGGGATATTTATATTACTCAATACTGAGAAACACTGTACAATACAACTTAAGGCATGGAATCATAAATTATAAGACTACTTCTAAATAAAAGTTATAAATATGTCAAAAATAGTATACATAATGCTAAACTCTTCATATTACATATGTAATATTCATATTACAACAATGAAATACTATGAAAGGGCATTACCTTAACCATTTTTATAATTATGATCATTAGGGGGTTAAAGAAAAACACATACTTTAGCAGGATATCTAAATAACTTCACAAATCCCAGATCATCCCCAGTAGCTAGGACCATTTTGTCACTGGTGAGGCAAGAGGCAGTTATGTCTGTGACTTCTCCAATTACTGGCCAAATTCCCTCACAGCATAAACCAAGCACACTTGTCCATGATGCCCAACAAATTTTTTCTACCTAAAAAGAAAATAAGGGCTGTAAGTTTGCAATATCTAAACCTTAAAAACTGACAATAAAAATCTGAAATTTTTTTTTTTAAAGATTCTATTTATTTGACAGAGTTCACAAGTAGGAAGAGAGGCAGGCAGAGACGGGGATGGGGGGGAAGCAGGCTACCCGCTGAGCAGAGAGCCTGATGCGGGGCTCGATCCCAGAACCCCGGGATCATGACCTGAGCTGAAGGCAGAGGCTTAACCCACTGAGCCACCCAGGCACCCCAAAAACCTGAATATTTTTCATAGTTATGTATGTCACAAGTAAAAGTTAAAAAAATGTTTAAGATTTAATTATTTGACAGAAAGAGATCACAAGTAGGCAGAGAGGCGGGCAGAGAGAGAAAGGGGGAAGCAGGCTCCCCGCTGAGCAGAGAGCCCAATACGGGCCTTGATCCCAGGACCCTGAGATCATGACCTGAGCTGAAGACAGAGACTCTAACCCACTGAGCCACCCAGGCATCCCTAAAATTAAAATTTTAGTAGAAACAGCAAAATTATTAGTTGTCTTCATTTTGTAACTTCCCAAATCTGCTAATTCCTATAGAAAAAATTTAACATAACATTATTCAAGAAGTACTTTTTATGTGTTCTAGATGCTGAGCATTCAGTGATAATAAATAAGACAATTTCTGCCCTTAGAATAACCAATAAATCTGTACTTCATGTGAAAATTTCTAATATTTTAGAGGCTTGGGATGCCTGGGTGGCTCAGTTGGTTAAGCGGCTGCCTTCGGCTCAGGTCATGATCCCGGCGTCCTGGGATCGAGTCCCACATCGGGCTCCTTGCTCGGCGGGGAGCCTGCTTCTCCCTCTGCCTCTGCCTGCCTCTCTGTCTGCCTGTGCTCGCTCGCTCTCTCTCCCTCTGTCTCTGACAAATAAATAAATAAAATCTTTAAAAAATATATATTTTAGAGGCTTGTTTTCCAATTAATCACTACTGGATATTAAGAACTTATATATATATATATATATATATATATATATATATATATATAT